CAGCTAATTTATGAAATGAACTCTTGTATATTTCGTTCGAAACGACAAGACCGTAAACGATATGTTCTTCTTCCAAAAAACATGAAATATTCGGAAGACACCCAAGTTGATTAATTTCTCACAAATTGTCAATAATTCTCGATATTCATTCAATTCCTTGAAAACATCAGAGAGACTCTAAAAGAATTCGAAATCGATAAGATCACACGTAGAGATAAATTCTTTCCGATTTTTCAGTAGAATCAAAGTTTTATTTAAAAAAAAAAAAATGAAAATAGTTCACTCATCGAAATAATTGTACATTATTTTTCCCATTTTTCTTCACAGCGATAGAAACTTGGTGGTTTTGAACGAATTATGCGAAAACCAGTCGGAAAGAATTCGGTCTCCACACCTAATATATTCCTTCTTATTCTGTGCCCAACCGTAGAAAGGCCGATGACGGACAGGAATATCTTCTTCCACGAGACATCATGTTTCAACGAGGATGGTTTGGTGCTGAACACCCGCCAGGCGTGCGCCGTCGAATCCGCGGCGAAAATGAATCCCAACATGAACGTGTACCTGCTGTTCGTCTCTCCCTCGAAGATCTCGAATCAATCGAGGGAAATTTTCAATCAGCTACAGACATATTTAAATATACGAATCAGGCACATCTATCCGGAGAAGTACATGAAGGACACGCCTCTGGATTCGTGGTACAGAAGCGGTGTGTTGAAGGAGAGTCGATGGCCAAGGAGTCACATGTCCGATATCCTTAGATATCTAACACTTTGGAAGTACGGAGGAATATACTTGGATCTGGATGTGGTTGTCACAACGTTAGTATAGTTTCCAAGTTCCTGTAATTCCTTTTGTTTGCAAACACTTTGGAATTACGGAGGGAAGTAGCAGAGGAAAGCGGGGTATTTCCGGCCACTTTAATTTCTTAAAATAGAAAACGCGTGATTTGACTCTGTATGGTACTGCCACTTGTTAATGATGCGACTAGTTAATACTCGTCATTTCTATGACTATAGCAGACTTTTATTTTAAACAAATCCCAGAGTGTTCATTTTGCAATGTAACTTTATACTTGTATCTGCACGTGGTTGTTACAACGTTAGTACTGTTTCCAAGTTCCTGCAATTTCATTTATTTACAATCTATTTATCTCTGGATTCAGGTAGATAAGTTGCATATCTGATTGCTAACATATCTAGTGAACATTTGATAAAGATTATTGATAAAGTTATCAGCAATATGTGCACTATTACGTCGACTATTATTTATACTTTATGTAGTAGAACAGAGAAACTAAAATGGAATTAAGAAAGGCATTCTGTGATTTAGGAGTTGAAAGACTTTCAATTACATGAGAAAAATGTTTTTTCTTCCCGACAGATCGCTTGAACGTTTAACAAATTTCGCCGGTGCCGAGGACTGGAACCACGTAGCCGCCGGTGTAATGGGATTCGACGTAACGGAGATTGGACGTTTGATGGCGGACACATGTATTCGCGATATGAAGGCGAATTTCCGTGGAGATATCTGGGGCAACAATGGACCTGGAGTAATCACCAGGACGGTACAGAAGATTTGTTCTGCGAAACATGTGTGTACTGCTTTCTAATGTTTCACAGATTACACGCTCTGTTCCTAAAATGTATCATTTGTAAACTCGACAGAATGTTAATAACTATTTTTAAGTGACGACAAATTTTAGTTGGTTTACCGATTGTGTAAGAATGCGAAAGAAATTGTACGAGTCGGTTGAAAGTTTCTGGAAATGAAACGAAAAATGAAGAATGACGTTGAAGAATATTGTCGCCGGCTATAAATGCTGAGTGGCCGCCTCTCGTCGTCTTCCGCAAGGACGTAAAAACACTTAGCAAATTGTATGTTGCACGCTATTATCGTTGCAGATGTTATTAATTAAAGAAATGTCGAAGATTACACAGGACGGTAGAGTGAACGCATGGAAATGTCGGTAATTTGTTAAGCGGTCTAACGAACAACAGAGTAATATATTTGTTGGAATGGAGAAGCTTGAAGGAAGCTTTAAAACAAAATTGTAAAAAGAGAGAGTAGAAAAGTAGGAATTTTTAAATGGGGAAAAAGATTTTGTAAAAATGTTTCTTGTTATTTTTCCCAGATTCGACATATGACCACCACACGGTGTCGTGGCTTCAAAGTTTTCGCTCCATCGGCCTTTTACCCGGTACATTACAAGAAATGGAAGATGTATTTCGAGACGAAAGACATGAACACAACTATGAAAATGGTAGAGAAAGCGAGGGCCATTCACGTGTGGAACAAGCTCAGCAAGTTCGAGGAAGTGCGCGTGGACAGCAATGTTCCGTACGCAATTATCGCGCGCAAACATTGCCCAAAAATTTTCAACAGTTGTAGCAACGTATTTTGAAAAAAGTACGTATTACCTGAATGGGAGAAAGAAAGAGGGAATAAGAGCACGTTGCAACATATTTCACGCGATCTTCTATGATTAGTAATCATCGATTAGTCACGTCGTTACATATTTCTTTTTTTTTTATTTTTTTACAATAACAAACTATGCTTCATATAGACACACCTTTACGAATTTTATTTTTCGATGCGATATATGTCGATTCATTTATGTAAACACTCTCAACACGAGTATCGTTCGCATTCTTGCACCAACTTGACAATTAAAAGTGTCGAAATTTGACGAAGAACTTGGCGGTTATGACAATATTAGAGTGCAATAATAAGAGAAACGTATATGTATATGTAGACGTATTAGATTGCTACAGTATTGAAGATTGGTCGTATGCCATTGCTAATCGAAGGAATGTCGAATGAAACGAAATTGAGAAATCATATCAAAGGTTTTCAATCATATCAAAGAAATTGTTCAGAGGTTTGTTGTGAAAATAATGTATGTTGTATATACAATAGTATTAATCGCCGATACGAATAGGCTGTAAACAGTATTGAAAAAGCGGAAGAAATTGTGTACGTATGTGTGTGTATGTATAAAATGTAGTGGCAACAGTCATAGACAGATTAGCAATTCTGATCGATTGATTCTTTAACCTAGCTGCGCTCATTAAAAATGACTAACCGCGTTCAGGATGAAGTGTTGCTATCCTGAGGATTAATCATTGAGATGAAATTTCTGTTACAACGGAATAAACAGAAGGTGGACACAGCGAGAAATTTTATAAATGAAAATTTATTTAAATGTTGAACGTAAAAGGAAAGGACAATCACACATTGGTTGATATGTAGAACGTAGAGAATAATATAGAATAATGTAGAAAATGTATGTATTGTTCAATGAGTTTGGAGAGTTAAAAAGTTGAAAAGGAACGTTTTAAACATGTAGTCACGTAAACTTTATATTTACGTTTAACGAAGCAGTTTTCTAAATTCAATTTAGAAGCAATTTTTATTATTAACATATCGTAGATAAGTAGTAAGATAAGTAAGATATCATGAAGAAAAATATTCAGTGATCAGTATTACATATCACGTAGAAAACGAACCGATTGTATAGACTACAAAGTATAGAGAACACAGGCACGATGAGAATGTGTGAGTGAAATTGGGACATTCGTATTTTAAGTAATAAGGTGTTCATGTTGGACTTATGTACTGTTTTGGACGTTTTATGCTTTTTTTTATATAAAGAAGAGATTCTTTAAAATTGAATACGATTATTGGCACATCCCTCCATTTCATTTTGCGGAAAAAGGACAAATTTTGTAAATATTATTTATGAAAAAACATATGTATAATGCCTTCAAGCAATTGGAATTGTTCGATATAAAAATTTCAAGAATTAATCGATCAATTGTTTTTATTTCATTTCCTCAGCTAGCTCAACTTTTTTCAGTAAAGCTCTTTATTCGTAGATCTTCCAAAATATGACATAATAATCACTATTGAAAATGTGATTTAGTTATATATACCAATTAAATCAATATATTAAATTACGACATGAATAGAAAGTTTAAATTGAACAAATTTGTTATCGACCGTTGGTAAACACATTTTTCAAACTAAACAGTATTTAGATCATCTAGAGTTTCATAGTTCATGTCTCAATGTCGCTCGGAAATCGTCGAAAAAACGTAAAGAATGTACGAGTTATGTTCAGTGAAAGAACGCGGCAGCGTTGGAACGTTGATTTTCGTGTGAAACGTTCTTGAAAGTGGAAAACCGTGTAACCGATGTTATGTTCGTCCATTTTTCGCCGTAATGCGTCAGTTAAATTAACATTTACGCGTAGCGTGTATGATTCGTCCGCATACAAAACTATTCTTCGGTAACTTAACCTCTTTACAATACGTTGAAGATATTTGTAGAAAATCATAAAAAGAATGGCGGTTGGATCGACAAAAGTGGTGCAGGTGACAAATATCGCACCTCAAGCGACTAAAGATCAAATGCAAACTTTGTTTGGATACCTTGGAAAAATAGAGGATATCAGATTGTATCCTACTATACGAGACGTCGCGGTACCTGTACAGTCACGTATTTGCTACATCAAATTTCACGACCAGGGCTGCGTTGCAGTTGCTCAACATATGACAAACACTGTTTTCATCGATCGTGCATTAATCGTGATCCCATACCAGAATGGAGACATTCCAGATGAACAGAGAGCTCTTGAATTAACAAATAATGGCACAGTTGTTCCAGGTAAATATCGACGATAGTTAAATTTATACCCCATTATTCTTTCATATTATTCGTAAACTATACTTTTAAATCTACATATTTGTATAAAATGAAACTATAGTCAAATTCTTTTCTTTATAGGTCTTTATCCCTCTGAGCCCAAATTACCACCAAACGTTGTAAATGCAATAGAAGGGATTCCTCCCAATCATGTTATTACCACTATGGATCCAAAATTAGAGGCAAATGGATTGCCACCTTACCCACATTTACCTGGCCATTTGGATAGCAGAAGGATTGAAGAAATTAGAAGAACGCTTGTTCTTGCTAATTTAGATCCTTCTGTAACTACGGACCATTTACTAGACTTCTTTAGTAATAACAATGTTGAAGTGAAATATTTACGCATGTGTACCAGAGATTCGGATACAGAGCATTATGCATTGGTAGAACTATCGGAACAAGCAGCTGTAGTTTCTGCATTATTGCTGAATGGAAAAATGCTCATGGATAGACCAATTAAAATTTATCATTCTACCCAAGCGATAGCGAAACCAGAAGCAAAAAGCAACGAGGCGGCACAAAAGGAAATAGAGGAAGCTATGTCTCGCGTGAAGGAGGCTCACAATTTAATTTCAGCTGCAATAGATCCGATGATTGGAATGTTGTCAAAAGACAAACGAAGTCGTAGTGGTTCACGCAGCCGAAAATCTCGGTCGAGATCGAGAGGACGCAGTAGACGATCCAGATCGCGCAAAAGATCGCGTTCTCGTCACAGACGTTCGCGTTCACGTCACCGACGAAGATCAAGATCACGATCGAAACGTTCTCGTTCCAAAGACCGCAGACGAAAGTCTCCGTCACGCAGAAGAAGTAGTTCCCGTGGCCGACATCGTTCTCGTTCACGATCTCGCCGTTCTCGATCTCGTAGATCCAGATCCAGATCAAAAGATCGCAAGAAAAGGTCTCCTCGTCGAAGGAGCCGTTCACGATCTCGAAGTAAACGTTCGAAATCGAAATCTAGACGATCTAGATCCAAATCTAAGTCTAGATCCTCGAAATCCAAGTATGCCGAGAAATCGAGAGATAAAGATAAAGAGAGAAGAAGCAAAGATAAATTGGATAATGGTAAAAAGAGCGACGGTGATAAGGCCGATAAGGAAAAGAGCGAAAAGAAGTCTAGCAAAGAAAAGAAATCCGAGAAGGAATCGAAATCTGAAGAGAAAAATAGAAACACATCTGAAAATAGTGAGACAAAGGAGAAAACAGAGTCTGAAACTTAAAGTCTTCACAAATTACGGTCTATAAAAGTTCATTTACGCCTTTGGATCATTTTGTTTATTTAATGTTACGATATACCGTAATGTATTGATCAATAAAATAATACAAGAATATCAAATATCTAAGGATTCTTTTAGCTTGTACATACTTACGGAAAATACTTATATTGATATAAATGTAATAACATAAATGATACAAACATCTACATTTTATTATACTTTAATACCTTGCCTAATCATTTGTTAAAACCAGTAGTGAATAAGTAAAATTACGGGTGATTTATAGTTGATCTTCCTATTTAGAACTGCTTAAAATATGTATAAAATATATTTGTCAAGTTATTTTTAAGCACATTTCGTACGTTTTATATAAAGTATACATTTTTTTAAATCTTGTAATAATGTAAAAAGTTATTAAACGGTTCGTTAACAAGTTCAAGTTATTCAAAGTGCTGATTATGATATTATCAAGCGTTTTAAGAAAATTTCTTCTCATTGTTATATTTACTGACCATAATCTTATCATTTATCATACCAATATTATATTTGAATCAACTTTGTAATCTTTGTCGACTCGATAAAAGTTTCGTTCGCATTTATTACAAATTTTATCATCTACTAAGGTAATAAATAATACTGAATCTAATATATTCTTAGACTTTCCTTTGTATGCTTTTGAAATATGCGCCATGTGTTCGGGGGCAGCACTACCTAATAATTGGGTAACCGATTAACATTGCAATCTCCTTTCAATAGATTTTCGTGTTCTTTGATCAAACGTAGTAGCAAATCATGCTATTACTATTTTCGTGTTATCTTAAATGACAGACGAATGAATCTGCGTAGCTTATTCAGTTATTAGTAAAAGAAGTTTGTAGAGTAAAGTAAATTGAAGAATTGAAAATATCATTTGGTTACGTTCATGAACGATTGAAAACAGTGTAAGTTTAAAATTTTATAAATTATAATAAAAATAAGCATTGACATTTAAAAGGAAAACGTTCTTTTATTACTTTTTATAGTTAGTTGATCTAAACTTCTAGGTTAAATGGTGAAGATGACATCTCTAGATGCAGGAAAATTAAGGCAAAGTTTGTCAAAGGCATGTACTATGTTGTCTCTGAATATATGTCATTATCTTCAATACATACTTTCTAATGACATTTATAAAATGCATTTTATTTTCCAGTATCAAAACCCTGATATCACCAAAAAACATATCATCAAAGTTCTGAATGTCTATAACGGTTTACAATATAAAGTAGAACCATTTGGTAAATATAGAACCATATCTCTTATAAAATTTCCTGCTTTATATGCTGTCAAATTATTGTAATAGATGTAAATTTTAGAGAAAACATGAATCCACTTATTTATTTCATTTGTATTTCTTTCCTTACTAGTATTTAATGATGGATCACGCAAAGAATTATTCAATTTACAAGGAACAATACCTGTTCCTTTTAAAGGTAATATAATCCAGCTTGACATGTATGACAAGTTGACAAATGCAAAAGAAATTTTACATTGTCATAATTCTTTTTCAGGTACTTATTACAACATTCCTATATGTATATGGCTAATGGACACACATCCAAATAATGCACCTATGTGCTATGTTAAACCTACTTCTGATATGGATATTAAAGCAAGCATGTTTGTTGATCATAATGGAAAAATTTATTTACCATATCTCCATGATTGGTTGCCAGTGAGTAATTTGTATATACATAGTTATCTCTTAATATTCATTATTATAGAATATCTTCATATCATAGTACACTTCTGTTCTTTAGCATTCATCTGATTTACTTAGTCTAATTCAAATAATGATTGTAACCTTTGGAGAACAACCACCTGTTTATGCTAGACCACGTCAAGAAGAATACTTATGTAAGAATACATAACTTATAAATATTCTTGTGAAGAATTCTATTATTAAAACACACAAACTTATACAGCTTTCATGCCTGTGCCTGGAAGTGGAACACATATGCCAGGTTCTAATTTTCCACCATATCCACAAAACTCACAGTATGGGGGTGGAAGTAGTGTTTATCCTCCATACATGCCTCCAACATCCTCTGGGTTTCCATACCAAGTCCCATATGGTTCTTATGGAGGATCAGCTTCAAATTATCCACCACAGGGTGTTACTGGCTCTTTTCCATACCCTCCATCAACACAACCAGTAAGTTATCATTGTTTGCAAGTAAAAGGTATGTTACTTTAATTTAAATATTAACAACTTCTTGTGATTTTTAAGTCTCCAACAGTACCCGCTACTGCTGGTGCATCGGGTACAATCACGGAAGAGCATATTAGAGCATCCTTATTGTCGGCAATAGAAGACAAGTTAAGACGGAGGCTTAAAGAACAATTCTCGCAATTGTTAGCCGAACTAGAAACTCTACGTCGAACGCAGCAAGAGCTTACAAGCGGATCCGCCCATCTTACCTATTTATTCGATAGTTTAAAGAGGGAGAAAGCTGAACTTGAAAAAAATATAACTATACTCCAAGACAAAGAAGCTGAATTGGAAAAAGAAATTGCCAAACTTTCTGATAATCAATCGATAGACGTTGATGAAGCTGTTACAACAATCGCACCGCTTTACAAACAGTAAGATATTTCAAAATCATTTATTCGGTAATTTTCTTAAATAACATTATTGTTACTTGCATAATTGCAGAATGTTAAACGCATTTGCGGAAGAAGCAGCCACGGAAGACGCTATATACTATCTCGGTGAAGCTTTACGGTGTGGTATTATAGATTTAGATGCATTTTTAAAGCAAGTACGACAACTTTCACGCAGACAATTTATGCTCAGAGCACTTATGCAACGCTGTCGCCAAAAAGCGGGATTGACTGGTTAAATAGTCTATTCAATTTTTACAAAGTTGCGCCATTCAATATTTTATTTTATTACAAATGATGTATGCAAGACAAACTATATAAATCCCACAATAATAGAGGGATATAAATATGTTATATAAAAGAGGCATCCTCTTCAGAAAAACGAGAATTTCTTATCAAAGATGTGTAAAAAATACGTAATTTTTAATTGATCCTTTGTTTATTATTTAAAAAAAAGTCATGTACCTCAGATAGCAATTTTAGATATTAAGAAATATAAATGCTTATTTACAGTGTGATAAATGTATAGATTAACCACTACATTGCACGGTTTAGTAAAAATACATTGTTTTTATTCTTATGATGTGAAATTGTTATGCAATTATTTAAATGCTATTACACGTGGTCTTAAAATTAATTTTTCTCAACAGGACTATTCTGAAACAAAAATGGTAGGTACACAGATACAATTCAGCATAAAATTGATTTAATTTTATATAAAAGGTAACTTTTTATAAAAAAAAAAAAGCTGTACCTATACATAAATTCCAACCCAAAGAAGTAAGAAAAGTACTCCAAAACCAGAAAATATTGCTGCCACCAGAGAAATTAACAATTCTTTGAACATATCCCTTGTAAATTTTGTGCTAGTAACTTCGTATACAAAGAACCATGCTGTAAAGAATATACCAATTCCTAATAATACCACTGCCAATAATGGAAAAATTCCAGGGTTTATAGGAGAGACATATCTTGCCATAGACTCGATTTCCACCTAAATTGAAAAGAAAGAAATAATTAAGAAAAGTATATTATGTTGATTTCTTAAATTTATTTAGCATATATAAAGGTAACTGTATTCTGAAACTCTTATATATATCAGAAGAATTAGTTTTCAAACTTTAAAATAGGATAAAAAGAATATAAATATTCCTTATGCACAGTCAAATTTCTTTCATAAATATTTACACAAAGTTTCATAAAAACAGTAACATTATTTTAAATATTATTTATACACGTAAATATATCTACACAGCATTATTTAACAGATATATATCTTTATATTACATTGATAAATGTTCGAACACGTTAATCTCTAATTTAAAAATGCCGGGATAGTGTTTAGCAGAATTATAATTGCATTAAAACATAAAATATCACACTAAACATAATAAAAAATATAGTAACTGATAACGTTACTCATGTTCATTCACACAATAGAACAAATGTTGCACTTACCATTGTGTCAAATATTTTGACGTGGCTTACTTGAGAGACACGTAAAACTTAAGACTCGCGACAAATGTGCAGTCGTACGTTGCAAACTTCACTATAATACATACTTGTGAAGGGAGTAAACATAAGTTAGCTGCCAATAGTCAAAATATAAATTACTCAAATTTGTAAAGAAGACAAAATTGTTAACATTTAAAAATATAAATTAAATAAACAAAAGAAACATTGTTAACAATACATGATTTATTGGTTTATCATTTATTCATATTGTTAAATACCAGTAACTAAAAAAAATCTATAAAAAACGAATTTTATATAATGTCTAAAACTAGATTAAGAAGAATACAGTCAAAATTTTGTTTTATTACAAATCCATCAACATGCATTAACACTTAGAATGATTATAATAATTTACAGTTTTTATCTACGCATAATTACATAACAGATTGTGCGCATGGTAAATTTAATATAACCTTAAGAATACTTTTTTAACAAAATGTTATTTCTGTAAAAAGTACATCGTATCCAAGGTAAGTTCATTTTCAACAAAAATTACCGTTTCCTTTGTTATATGCTTCGAGAGTACTTTCTTACTTTGTATTATATAATGTAACGATTATTTCATTTTTATTAGAAAAACGTTTAATACATCTTATAGAGAATACTTTTTAAATGTCAATTTAGAATCTCTAATTGCGATTGTTTCGAAATCGATATGTAGTACGTTTGTCACCATGGTATGATTCATAACGCATAACATAGTATAATATTACCAATCTTTATATGTTTTCATACATACAAGCCGTTTTCTACGTATCGTAGATAGTTTTGTGCATTTTACATACGTAAATACAATGATAGCTTTTAATAATTATAATGAGTTGAGATTTTCTTGAAATTCTACAGACAATTATTTTATAACAGAAAATAAAATTTTGAAGTTTTATATTTACAATTTTTGTTTGTTTCGCGTTTAATAAAATTTGTTGTTATAAAATAATTACTTTTTGTAGGCAATGATGGCAAATAATTCACTGTCCGAACAATTCTCTTTGAGATGGAACAATTTTTCTAGCAATTTAACATCTGGGTTTCTAAGTCATTTTACTGAAAATGATCTAGTTGATGTTACACTTGCTGTGGAGGGTCAATTGCTACAAGCACATAAATTAGTCCTTTCAGTATGCAGCCCATATTTTAAAAATATATTTAAGGTATAGAAATTATTGTTTTATATGTCTGATGTATGTAAGTGTTGTGATTGCTCAGTAAAAAACTTCTTAGAATTGATTTATAGGAAAATCCTTGTCAACATCCAGTAATTATTCTCAAAGACATGAAATATAATGAAATTGAATCATTGTTGAAATTCATGTACCAAGGTGAAATTAACATTAAACAAGAAGATTTATCTACTTTCTTAAAAGTGGCACAAACATTACAGATAAGAGGACTCACAACAGAAGATACAAGTAACACTAAGTCATTCTCTAGTTGTGATAGTCAATTAAATGTTGATCCTAATACCCGAAATATTGTTCAATCAAATTTAAGTACAACAAATAAAAGTTCTAAAGATGTGGAAATGATAGATAGAAGGAAAAGGACACGTGATATAACAAAAAAATGTGTTAAGAAAAAGAAACAAGATACATCCATAATATCAAAAAACATTCAAGATTCGTCTAATGAAAATGTGGATAATCATAATCAAGAAGTTTTGCTTTTAATGGATAAAGACACAAATGATTCTATAGATGAGGAAGAAGAAAGCAATATTTCTATTGTAAAAAGTAATGATAAGAATGATGTTGAAGATTCCATAAGTGAGCTAACTGATGTTGAAAATGTAGGAGAAAATGCAGCACAGCAAGGTAAATAGTTCTTGAAAACTTTATTAACACGTTGACTGCCACGCCGAAATCACACGTTTTGCTCAGGACGCCACAAAAGTATTTTTATTCTAAGCATGCAATGGCAAAATAATAATAAATATGGTTATATAAGACAACATTCTTACCCATGGGGCGTTTATCTTTCTGGTGGTCACGGGTGACCGCTGTGGCGCCTTGGTGCACTTGATAACTATTTTGGAATATTTATTTACACCAGGGCCATCAAATATATCTATCCGAAGAAAATTACAACATGAGATGCAAAAAAAGGAAGGGCCAGCATACCTGGTGCGAAAATTTTGCAAAGAATGTTATCAAAAAAATTTTGCAAGTTTTGGAACAAAGATTGCTAAAAATCGGACCAAAAAGGTTACCACATACTGCCCAGATTGTATTGATCAGCCGCATCTATGTTTGAAATGCTTTAATACAATACACTGGTAGATAGAAAACTTGATAAAAATTAATCTCTCATTTTTGATCTTCTAATAAAAATTTTTAATTGTTGAATAGTGCACATTTTATTTCAAAGTATTCTGTAATCAGCGATGATGTTCAAAATTCATTAACTGTCGATGTTCATTCAACTTTTACAATTATAAACATTTGAAGCACTCCGGTCACCGATGACCACCGTGGCGCTACAGGAGAAACAATCTGCGGTCACATATGACCACCGTGGCCGTCAACGTGTTAAATAAAAGTAAATTTGATGAAGATAAAAGTGATAATATGTCACAGTTATATCTTAAAATTACAGATGTTGAACCAGTAATTTATAGACTTTCTGCAAGAGGTCGACCACAATTAGTGCATGAGGGCTATGTTTACAACTTAACATCCCGCTCTGAAGGTTTAAATAGGTCTCATTATAGATGTGCCGAACAACACCGTGGATGTAAAGGTAAATGTGCAGTCATTGCTGAAAGATTTATGCCTACAGGTGTACATGATCATAATCATCCACCTGGATATCAATCAGAACATGATTACAGAAAAAAGAAAGGTTTAGATATTGATGCTCCTTAAATTGTAAATACCTTAAACTTGTAAATAGCATTTTATTGTGTTATAATTTAATTACTGAAAGTTTAGTAATGATGAAAAATAATTTTTATTAATATTATTATGCAGCAACAGCTTTCCATAAAAATCACATAGTATTTTTAAAGTAAAAAATTTTAATTTACTGTACAATTCTTCAATGAACATTCAAATTTATTACACTGCAACAGTTGGTAAAAACATATAGATTATATTGCATGAATTGTACAATTATAACTATCATTAACATTAATGTAATAAGCCATTGTGGCATATGAATCATTGTATTTCAATTAACTGTGATGCACTGTTTTAAGATTCATAAAAAAAAAAGTTAAGAAGGTGATGAGCACATTCCATTTAGTATTATATAAAACATGAATCAAAGCCAAATAAAAGTATTTAATTTATGTTATCTACTTACACATGAAACAGAATACTGTTTTCAGTGTAATAAATATAATTCGCTTTTATAAATGCTCAGACATAAACATGTATGTATGTACATATGTACATATAAAATTGAATGTTCTGCTTAATTATATTTAAGTCGTATAAAAATAATTTTCATATAAGTTAAATAAGTTATCAGAAATGATAATAAATATAATATATAAAATTAATTA